ATTTAGGGGAATTTATCCTGAAGTTTTTTTTTGGTGCATTGGATGTCGCAATTCAAACTCCATAAAAAACTAAATTTTGAATTGTGATTTGTGACAGTTCAAAGCTACATGAAATGAAAAATGGGTGGAGTTTGAATTCTAATGTTAATACACAAAATGTACTACTATAAATTTTATTTATTTGATTTGAGAAAAGAAAAACTTTTGACATGCGAGTTAAATATATAACAAGAAAATATATTGAAATTACTTTTAGACTTCTATGATTTTGAACATGTTAGGTCAATTGGAGCGCTGAAAAAACTTGTTGAAATGAAAGTCTAAATATATATACATAAACATTAGTGTTATTCTTTGTTATAAAATAAGCCAAAAATGAAAGAATTCATATAAAATAGTACGAAAGGAATATTATATTTGTGATAAATGGAAAAAATATTTGTAATAATGATTAAACGTTCCAAAATGTACTTCATAACCTAAATAAGAATATAAATACAACTTATTTGCTAAGACTGAAATTTATGCAATTGTCAATTGAAATACTTTCTCTGTCTCATTTTATATTTCATCATTTTATATAAATAGTTGAATAAAAAAATTTGTTATTTTATAAAATTTATGCATAAATTATCATATTTTATTTATTATACCCTTGAATCTTGATAGAGTAATTAATTAATCAATCTTAAAAATGTATTCATCATTTATTATAAAGTTAATTTAAGAAAATATTTAATAAGCATAGAAAGGTAAAATTACCTCATTTTCTTAATGTGCAAAGTAAAAAAAGAACATATAAAATGAAATAGATGGAATATTTAATGATTTTTTTCTGTGACATATAGTTTTTGAAGTCAAAAACTTAATTAATGCCAGAAATTTCTTGTTGAACCGCAGCTGGAAACTTGATGTTTACATTTTCAATCTACAGAGTTTCCCAATAATGATCTTTTAATTATTGTGGTGTTCCATTTGTATATCATAAGGAAATTTCGAAATATCATTTTATCAAGAATATATTCTAGCTTTAGTATAAAGTTGGTAAAACTTACTACCTTTACTAAGAATATATGCTTTAGTCCAATGTCACAAACCTCTTTTTTTAAAATTATTAATTTATACTACTAGATAGAATCTCTATTGTACTTTAATTAACAGTAATAAAATTAAAAATCTTAATTTGAATTAATATAAATAAAAAGGGCTCTATAAAATAATTATCATGATATTTTTATTATAATAAGTATGAATATTTATAATTAATACTATATATAATTATTGTTAAAGACTTTAGTGATTTCAAATACAATGACGTTAATTTTCTTTATCAATTGTCTCTAAAAGTCGTTACCGCTAAATATCCATTTTGTTGCAATACTAATTGCACGATCAAAACGTTGTGATGGACGACAAGTATAGAGTCTGTCATCCTTAAGGTGTCAAAGCCTCTCATCCATAAGGTGTCAAGGCGGTTGAAGAAGGACACAGGTGAAAGCAATCGATGCCTTGATCATTAAATTGACTTTTTGCTATCAGACCGTCCTTGTTATCATGCCGGTAAAAGCGGAAATTTCGATTGATTTTGTCTACAATTGAATTTGAAACAATGACTCTCACCGTATGAAAGTGATACTCTAGACGTTGAGTCAAGTAGATCAAGCTGAGTCAAGTCACCTTATAAGAGAAAGTAGCCAAAATAGCCCTTGCTATACAAGGGGGCGGAGCGCTAAAAAAGAGAAAGTATAAATTTTCTTTTTTAATTCAAAATGAGACTTTCCGCTCTTTGCAAATTTAATTTAATCAAATCTATCGACATATGAAAAATCAATATAAATTCTCTGCATGTAAATATAAAAATGTAATACAATTTTCTACTGTTTGACATGAGAGTGATACCTATTTGGAAATAGACTTATTGCTTTTAATATATTGTCAGGTTATTGACATCAGTAACTTTTACTTTAAAGTTTAACCTTATAATTTTTAATTTTTTTTTTTTAAAAAAAACATGATTAAAATAAGGCTCCTTCAATTCCTGGCAGATAAATCGTATAAGTTAGATGGTATAGTAGTAGTAGTTGATAATGGTAATTAAAGCCAAGCTCCACTACTCTTTTGTGTGGACCAAAATTTCAATTAACTCAGCAGCCCAAACACTATACTGTATACGTATAATAATATAATTTATCTCTTTACATATATTTAAACATTTTAAATTCCTAAACACAAAATTAGATGTTGATTCAATAATTTGAAAACTTCAAATTTAACCCAGGTTCAAACTTTATATATATATATATATGCGCTATATTTTTATTTTTGAACTTTCTGAAAATTTTGAATCTGTCATAATATCGATAAATAATGACAAATAAAGATAAGTTCCACTAGTACTAGTCTCACGTGTGAACCAAAAGGACTAGATATCAATTAATTAAGTGGAGATGATGAAGGAACCTAAACCAGGAAGAATCCAGCTTTTCTTGTACTACCCTTTTTGCTTTGCTTTCCCCACCATGGCACATGGTTAAACATACATATACACTTATTTGCCACTCTCCAAAGTCCAATCTAGTTCTCTTTTTTTCTCTTATAATTTTAAAAAATCGTAAATCTACGTGATACATTTTTCTTTTCAATCTCATGTTACAAAAAAAAAGAAAAAAAACAATTCAAGACTAGGATGTGTACATCACCCTTAGTGACATTAGGACAGTAACTAACGCTTACACAAGATTAGTTTGTCTATATCACACTTTTTGAGGTATTGCTTTTTTTTTTTTGGATGTTGTTAATGTGGTTTGTATTGAGTCGACACTGTTAGAAATTGAGGGTTTTTTCTACACGAATCAATGAGAAATATGTGTTATATATGAAACATGATTTTGTCATTCATTTTTCAGTATTGAACTAACATGTATGGTGAAAAATAAATTTTCACTACAATACTAAGAAGATTTCTAGTTTTTATTTTGTTTTCTCATAGTTCAATCAAAATATATACCTTTATTTCTTTTTTAAATTTCACGTTAAATCAAAGGTCGTCGTATAAAATAAAACGAAAGGAGTATCAATTTGTGTAGTAATGCCAAAAAAGACGATTCAATGCTCATTCTTTAGCAGGCTACTGGCCCCATCATATATTAACATATTGTTGGAGTTTATGATTTTTCTTTAATCGAAGCTCGTGATTATGTTTAAGATAAAATAGCGGTCGATATTAAATATTAATCAATGATTTTAATGAGAGTTATATATACTATAAGATTAATTTAGAGAGTTGTACGGTGCTGGTATTTGGTATTAATTGTGCTTTTCTGTCTATGTAATATATAGTTGAAGAAGGATTAAGAGAGGTTTCTCAATCATACAGCTAGCAAAGCAATATATATGTTATATGTAGCTTTAGGACCCATATATATGTTTTTGTAACTATATAACAAAATATGGAAATGTCGATTCATCTAAAACTTTTGCACACCATGCATGTGAAGATTCACATGTTATATGGTTGGAATTTATATCGATTTGGTTAAAATAGTAAATTAGCTTATAATATGTGACTGATTGTAATTGATCGATTACATTTTTTAAAAAAAGATTATATTAAATTTGTGTTTGATGGAGATATCAAAGTATATATGGAAAAAGTTACTTTTTAGCTTCCAAGAATATAAAATAATCATTTTTGGCTTTTTACGTTACTTTCTCATTTCATTTTTATTTGTCTATATTTAATTTAAGTCGTTTTTAATTGATATAATGATAAATTTAATATATCACCTTTTTAATATACTACTTAGTAAATTTACTATTTTAATAAATGATTATAGTTGATAATACTACTAAGAATATAAATTAGAAATTAAGTATAAATTAATTATTTCTTTCATTTTTTTCAAAAGGGTAACTTTTTTTTTATATATCACAACTATCTCCCACCAAATACCACTAAACAAACTTCAACATCCTTTATTATTAAATATTTCAAGCTCTAATGCAAGAGAACATGATTATTGTTGAGTGATGGAAGAAAACCATGATGATTTCTATTTGGCAACTTCTCAAATAAATGATGCCATTGTACACCCTACATCATGTCAAATAATATAAATATCTTATTGCAATGTAGGCCTAGTTTTTAAGAATATTTACCCTTTTTCGACTAGTATAAATGCTTATTATTACTTTATAATCAGATCAAGAATCATCACATCTCTCTACCAAATCGTATGGGGTGGTTGAATCATGACCCAATCTTCTACCCAAATATAAATAGAAATGAACTTTTAATTCAACCTAATTACTCGATGAATAAAAAAAGTGAATTTAAGTTATATATACTGATATAAGTAGTTCATTTATGAATATTTTATCTTGTTAGTTTTGATTTTTCACTTTGTAAATTTTTTTCGTTTCTTCTTTTCTTCTATTGTACTTTTTTTAGGTTTCTCACTCAATATAGATTTTACTATTCTAGATTTATGTCAGGAAATTGTTCGTTATTTTAGTTTATGTCTCCTTCTATTTTGATTTCACTAATTCATGTATTTAAAATCTAATTTTATTAATAAAACACTTTTCTATTAATAGCTTCATATTTAAAGCTCAAACTCAAAACTTCTAATAACAGATAAAAATAAGTAATACTGTGCAACGGTTACTACCTAAAGATTGAACAACTTAGCCCAAAAAGTCCTCCCACCGACCCTTATTATATACACTTTGTGGAAACTTATTGCTTATAACTACACTAAAGTGCAAGAATCATATGTCACAGTGAAAGTAGAGTCACGTTAGCCGCAAAACTGGCTCCAAATTTATATTCTTTTGATCTATCATCGATATTTATATTGAAATTTAACTAAATTCATAATAATACGAAAAAAAATTTACATAAAATAAATTCAAAACCTAAAATCTCAAATACTGACATTCCACTGCAATCATGTTGATGCTTTGTCTCCTATATTATTGTACTTACTAAAGCTACTTGAGCTATTTAATTTGAGTCCAAAGGCACATTTCCCAAAAAACTAACACAATGCCTTCTTCACTCTCTTTTGCTCTGTTTTTCTCTTTGCTTTCTCTCCTCTTTTCCTTCATTTCTTCATCAAACTCTACCACTTCTACCATTCCACTTTCACTTTTCAACACAAAACACCCATCTCAAGATTTATATGAAAAGCTCACACATTTAGCTTCCATTTCCTTAGCAAGAGCAAATTACATCAAGAAATCTCAAGATTCCCCTGTTTCCACAACCCCTTTGTATCCTCAAAGCTATGGAGGCTACTCCATTACTCTTAGCTTTGGTACACCTCCACAGAAAATCCCTTTCATTATGGACACTGGAAGTAGCTTTGTTTGGTTCCCATGTACTACAAGGTACTTATGTACCAATTGCTCTGTCTCTTCAGCTACTTCACAGTCCATTCCTACCTTCATTCCCAAATCTTCATCCTCCGCACGAGTTGTTGGTTGTTTGAATCCAAAATGTGGTTGGATTCATAGCAATAATCCAAAATCTCGTTGCCAAGATTGCGAATCGCCTACTAATTGTAAACAGGTCTGTCCACCATATATTATACTTTATGGTTCAGGCTCAACAGGGGGTCTTGCTCTTGTTGACACACTCGATCTTTCTAACAAGAAAGTTCCCAATTTTCTCGTTGGTTGTTCTCTGTTTTCATCAAAACAGCCTGCTGGAATTGCTGGTTTAGGCCGGGGACTTGCATCATTACCAAATCAATTAGGTGTCAAGAAGTTCTCTTATTGCCTTGTTTCACATAAATTTGATGATACTGGTAAAAGTAGCAATCTTGTTTTGGATTTCAATGCTAGTGGTGAAAAAACTGCAGGTTTAAGCTATACCCCATTGCTGAAAAATCCAGTGGTGTCTGAAAAAAATGCATTGTCAGTGTATTACTATGTTAGTTTGAGGAAAATTACAGTTGGAGGGAAGAAAGTGAAGATCCCATACAAGTATTTAACACCAGATTCCAATGGAAATGGTGGGAGCATTGTGGATTCAGGCACGACTTTCACATTCATGAATCGCGGTGTTTTTGAACCAGTACTTGATGCATTTGTGAAACAAGTAAAGGGTATTCCAAGAAGTGAGAGTATTGAGATAATAACAGGTTTGAAGCCATGTTTCAATATTTCCAGGCAAGAAACAGTGTCTTTACCAGAGCTAAAGTTTCATTTCAAAGGTGGTGCAGAGATGACATTGCCAATAGCAAATTACTTCTCATTTGCAGGTGAAATTGATGTCATTTGCTTAACAATGGTTACAGATAGTGCTTTTGGCCCTGAATTATCTACCGGTCCATCGATAATTCTGGGCAATTTTCAGATGCAGAATTACTTAGTTGAATTTGATCTCAAAAATGAAAAGTTTGGATTCAAGCAGCAAATGTGCAAATGACCTTTTTTTTTCTTGTAGTTTTGCTCTACATAATTGAGGCTAATCACTCAAAGATTTGCCCTTTTGAGGCCTATGGTCTAGTGGCCAATGGGGTTAGTAGATGATAACATTAAGAGGAATGTTTAATTTTTTACTTGTCTAATGAAAATAAATGTACTTATTTTTCTATGGTGAATCATATATAACAAGAACCAACATTTATATTTATGAGATATTGTATGTTAATCTTATGCAAGGAATATATCCTCAGTAGCTTAAGATGAATTTGACTAAAGAAGAGTTGTACTTCTTGGTTCGTGGTTGTAACATTTCTCTTTTTTTTTGTCGTTATAGTAGGTAAAAGTCCCACATTGATTGAGGAATGGACTGTTGAATTCCTTAGATAGATTTGGACAATCCTCCCCTCATGAGCTAATTTTTTAGGCTGAATTAGGCCTAAATGTCATCATCAGATTCATTTTCGTTTGGGTTTCAATTTCACACATAAATCAGTTCAAAACACTCCTCGATAAAAGTAATTCCATATCTAATGGGCGGTAATAGTAATATTATGTAGGCTTTCTTGTAATAGTTGTAGAATGATTGTAACAATTAATAATATGGTTGGCATATGATATTTTGCCCACTAAAAGCAGTAATCTTTTTGTGCTTTTGTAGGACATGATTGTAACATAATAAATATAGTTCATGAATCATGACAGTTGCCAATACAATTTTGACAACTTTTACTACTTCTTCCCTTCCCATGTGCATTTTTTAAAAAAATTGGACTTGTGCTTCCTTTGATATAATAATTTTTTTTAAAAAAAAATTGCAGTGTTTATAGGTTGTTGCAATTGTTAATCATGTTTTAAAGTCTAGAATTTAAATTCTTAGTGCTTTTAGGAGGCGCAAGTCTTCCTCCAGCTGCATTGCATCAATATGATAGTGGTGATCACAATTAGTTAAATTTGAGCGGATTAATATAGATTTGTATTAGTAAATTATTTGGACTAAAATAAATTATGTTGAAATAAGTTGAAAAAATGCGAATCATATTTCAATTTATTTAAAAATTTTATTGATTTTTATTGTCTAGTTTTTTATTGATACCTTTATCGTATTTAATAAAATAAATATCTTAAAATATTTTAATAAGATTTCTCATCAATTAATTTGAGTTACATTCCTTATTTTTTATTGGTTGAACGAAGCAAAATCATATGAAAAGACAAAGGGAATATTAATTTAATAAATATACGGATAAATAATCAACCGATTTGGGTGGATTATATTTTATGGGCTAATTTATCTTGCACCTTTAATTATATATTATTGGAAAAATTGTATAACAGCAAACTAATAACCTAATATAAATGGAATAGCTAGAGTTTGATTTAATTGTGCTCCATAGCAAACGTTTGCAAAAAATTGCCAGACGCCTCCCTCCCAAATATCTCGCTCGCCACTCACCTCCAATCTCTCGCTCACTTCCTCACTTTTTATACAAACACAAGTGTATAAAAATTGTTTCTAATTGTATAAAGCATAGAAAATTGTATAAATACATATATTTTTGTTCCCCTCTCTCCCCTCTTCCAGATCTCGCTCGCCACCCTCGCCTTTCTCACTTATACAAACAGAAGCGAAATGTATAAATTGCGTTTCCGTTTGTATAAAGCGTGAGAAAATTATATATACACATGCAAGTACATATATTTTCGTCCTATACACTTATAACTATACAATAAAAATACTCTCCTGTCCAGCTTCTTTTGTCTTTCTCTCTTTCTCGTTTTATATAATTTTCAAATTGTATCTAATTTCTCTCTTTCTCGTTTTATACAATTCGATTCAATAGTATATTCCTTGTCAAGTCTTTATTGTCTTTCTCTCTTTCTCATTTTATTCAAATTCAAATTGTATATAATCATTCTATACATTTATAATAATATAATTCGTTTTATACAGTTCTCTGCCCAAGTGTCTTTCTCTTTCTTGTTTTATACACTTCGTTTTATACAATTTGCTTCAACTGTCTATGTATAGCGAATTATACAGTTTTTATGTTTTCTATGAAGCACAATTATGCAAACTTTGCTATTAGCATACAAATATGATTTTTTTTTGCGAAAGTTGCCCTATATTATCCATATAGATGTTGTTTTTCCTTTTCCAAACACTTTTGAGTAAGTTAGTTATAACAATTTATGTATTTACCACTTAAATCAAGAAGCATTCAAAATTTTGAATTGAAGAGATCAAATATTTCGATATCGCTTAGTTTCTTTTTTTTTTTAAATCATAAAAACATCTAGTTTGACTTAACTATTACCGATAAATATATGCATATAATATCTAAAGGAAACTTGCATAAATATAATATATTAAGAGAATATTTATCATTTATAGCAATAATATTTTTTTAACTTGATCACTTTTAATACATTTATAATATGATTTTAATACATATTACAAAGAACAATTTATTATTCACATATAATATAAATTTTATTGATGATTAATACATGTATCACACATTTTAATATACTTATAATACAATGTGTCAATTCCTTAGAAGACAAGCATAATATATTTTTAAAAACAGGTATAATACATATTTATAGCATACATAATTCATTTTTAATACATATTGCAGATTTAACATAGTATTGCTATAAATGATGATAAAAATAAAAATAAAATATCGCTAAAATCGGTAATTATTTATTAAAAAATACCATCCTAAGTAATTTTTCCTTTTGTCTACTTAATACAAGTCCAACTAAGAAGCCCTGGGGATAGTGTATTCTTTGTTGGGCCGTGATAAGAACTGTAATGGGCTTTTAAAAAGTTTAAGCTGCTATACTTGCCGTTGAAGGGACAACTTGAAAAAATAGCCGTTTTATGAGCTCTATTTAAAGAAGAGTCAAGTATGTATATATTTTAGGATTTTAAAAAGGATTTAAATGCAAAGTAGTTAGATTCATATTTAAGAAATTGAAGGTGAATTTATTAATATTAATTCAACTTTAAATAAACGGCTATGTTTTTAATGATGTCATTATAATCCACTACCTAGTGCTATTCCTGCGAATTTAAAAGGATAGGCCATGGTTATTCATTTTATTTGAGTTAGATAAACAAATATTAAAGCTAGACATTGCTTGGGGTGTGTTTTACGAGTTAAACTAAATTAATTACGTTAATTTATATCTTAATGAGATGGGTGTAATTCTTATAAGGTTTGAACAATCTTTCTTCCTTTGAGCTAGCTTTTAGGGCATGAGTTAGGCGTAAGACCTAATTTCACATGGTACCAGAGCAGGGTCCGTCTCACCCGATGTTGGGGTCCCCAAAAATCAAAATTGTCCACGCACCAGATGCTAAGCACTGGGCGTGAGGTGGGGTGTTAAAGAATGACAAAAGTTTCACATTGGTGGTTAATGAAATAGGGTGAACTCGTTATAAGGCTCGGACAATCCTCCTCCCTTTGATTTAGCTTTTGAGATGTGAGTTACGCCTAAGAACTTAGACTCAACAAGCTTTACAAAGAACCAACTAATAAGAACAATAGATAACTACATAGGTGAAGAAATACAAGTCTTATAATTAAATTAGGAAATAAATCCAACTGTGGAAGTTTTGATGTGTCACATGTGAACAATCCAAAAATGGTAGATTTACATTAAATGACAATACATGGTAATGTAGCTAATTAGCTCACCCACCGTTTATTGTTCATGAATTGATAAAGATGTTATTAAACACAAATTCGCCGCCCTTTTGACAATTGGTAATTAATTATAAGTTGAAGTTTAAAACTTGTCCACGCAAGTAATTAAGACTACGATAACTATATGAACCTGTTTGTGTCACTTTCATCGATTAAAATTAATTGACTCATATTTTACGTTATAATCTCCCAATTAATTTATAAACCCACTAGTGACACTCAAAATTATGTTTAAAATGTTAAAATTTGAAATATTTGATAATTGATATCGTTCGTGGAATGTGTGTAATTTATCTTTATTCTAAAATTACATAAATTTTAAATAAGTATTTAATCTAATTAATGATGATCCTTTTTGGCACGAGGACGGCCATTCAATCATTAAAGATCACAGCGAATAGTATTTTTTTTTTTGATTTTATTAGAGATTTTAAATTTGACTTTAGATATAGTACATTTTACTTTTTAAGAATGAGATTTTTTTGAAAAAAAATTAAATTAATCAAACTTTCAAATGAACACCGCAAGCTAATGTCAATGATGCTTTGCTTCTTTTCCCCTCTTCAAATTCGTATTCAATTTTATGTTTGAACACTGAGTAAACTTCTAAATGAATACTTTAATTTGACCTAATTTGAATCGCATAATTTCTTTGAATTGCACCTAAAACCATGTGAAAGGTCTCCCAAGCAATTATTATGAACACCTAACATGTGTTGTAACTTGCATGTACACTTAATGACAAGAAATTCGACCTTAGAGTTATGGAGCGTTTCGCCTAATTTATAGTAATATTATTTGATACGAATTTAAATCAATCGAGTTAATGATTTGTGAATATTGTATGGCTAATTAAACCGAAATATAACAAGATAGTTATAACAATATATTAATTGCATGCATTTAGTAAAGATAGCAACTTAGAGCTACTAAAACATGAATGAATTAATATGATGAACATAATATCAACCATACTAGCCTCTTTTGATTACATTCAAGATTTTCATCAAATCCATTCAATTACCTCAACAAACTCTCAAAAAAAAAAAACAAAAAGGATTACAACATATGTAAAGAAATTAAATACTACTAAAACCTAATTAGTTATATAAGGTGACAGTTCAATTCAAAAAGTCAACCATGATAATTCAGAAAGTCAACCAACTGAACTATTAAGATTCCATCGCATCATGATCATCATCAATTCTTTGGATTATTGATTCGATCCTCGCGGAAAAAATCAAGCAAAACAGAGCTCTTACATTTGGGGCATTTTGGATCTTCCGCTGATAACATAACATACATTAAGCATCTTGGACATCCTACTAACATCATAGAAGTTGTTGTTGCTTCAGGGCTACCAAAAAATTCTTGATGATCTGGAGTTGGTTCCCTTGAAACACATGAACTTGCTGGTGATCTCTCCATTGAAGAAGTATACGAAGACGATGATCTGCTTGGTGATAATATTGGAAACATATTATTATTTTCCCTAGGGGGTGATAAATTCAGCTTCAAATCAAGCTTTGGATCATGAATACTCTCCCTCCTGTAGTTCATTTTGAACAGCTTTATCAACAAGACAATAATCCCCTGTATTTATAGTAAAACAGAGCAAAAATAATTAGAAAAAAGTCATTTTTAGAAGAAGAAGAAAAAAGAAAAAGTCTAATCATGAAAAAAAAAAATTACCTGAATTTTTTAGTATAGGCAAAAGGGAGTTGTTTGGAGAAAACGAAAAAGATTGACAAGATTTATATAATGTGTAGGAGAAAGGGAAATTAAGTGCAGAATTAATTGTGTGATTATAACAGAGGGAAAAAATAGAGAAGAATTTGGTAAAGAATTAGATGAGAGGAGTTAATTTTGAAGCCTGAAAAATAGAGTTAGTTTCTTGAATTTAATATATTGCATTAAATAAAGTTTGATGGAACTTTGAGAATATAGTAAATACCTTCAACTAAAAAATGATGAGAAAGCTATCAATCAATGCTTTATTGTTGGATATATTACTCCTTAGTATTTTTTAAAAATAAAAAATCTAGGTGTAGTACTAAGATTAGAGAACTAAAAATCCTCATAAAAATCTAACGGCTAACCAAATTTAATTTCATGAAGCATAAGCCAATTCTCATTAAATCTAATGATAATTCATATCGAAAAGTTTCACCTAAAAAGATAACTCATGATTTATTTATTTCAAAATAAATATTATTTTTAGTGAAAAATGTACGTTCATTAAAGATTCAATAAATGCAATAGGTAGATTATAAGACGGAAAAATCATTTTGGCCAGAATGATATTTTATCATTTTGAACATTTTTACCCTTTTTAACTTTAATATCTTTTAATTAAAAAAACAATTTCTTAATAAATAAATAAATATTTTAATTTTTTTAAAATTTCTGGCCAAATTCTGGCTATTTGGCATTACCCTTAATTTCTAAGGTAACACTTAATTTTTAGACGTAAGTATATTATTTTTCATTTTGTGTATTTTAAGAGTCAATTTGAGTATATTTTATAACTCAATTAGATTAAGTTAATGTAATATTGTAAAAATTAAAATTTTAAATATTAAAAAATTATACGAAAAATATTAAATATATGTTACATATTTATATCTTTTAAGCACCCTGTTTAATTTAGCATAAATATTTTACAACTGTTATTGAGATTTCATTTATATCTTTTTAGTTGTCAAACTAACATTATTGAATATTAATAACTTATATACAACCAAAGTTAATACTACCGCCGTTACATTGATTTTAAACCTCATTTTAGTCAAATAAATTAGGTCAAGAATAATATTCAGTTTAGGAAATAAAAAAGATAACTAATTATTCCTTTTCAAATCTATGCTTCTCCCACCAACAGTCTATTCAGTTTTTTCTATTAAAGTTCGCTAAATTAAAAAAGAAATTTTGTTAAAATCATTATTATATCGTTTATTGTATATTAAGAATATCTTTAAATTGATATAACGATTATTTTCAAGAAGGGGTCCAACACGACCAACTGTAGTTGTTGCCTGAGGTACAGTTAATTTTTCACTGAAACCTAACCTAGTTAAAGCTAATATACTAATGTTAGCTGCTCACATCATTTAATGTTTTACCTATTTTTGAATTCTTTTACCCCTTCCAAAATCAATTAGTCGAAAATGATTGTTCTATCTTATCTTAATAAGGTAATAGTAAAATTTGTATACAATTTATTTTTTTTAAATTTAACTGAATATGTTATTATTGTTATAAAATAAAAAAAAAAGTACTCTCATATTTCTTTTTAGCCTTATTTAAAGAAATATCCTTTTTAAGACATTTAATTAAGAATAAATTAGTAAAAAGAAATCTTCTTCAACTTTTTTGGAGTGATCGAGTAGTTCTTTTTCTTGATTTTTCGTTTGGCGTTTGTTATACGTATTAAATTTTTTATAAAATTTAAATCGAACACTCTATAGCTTATTTGAGGTGATGTTCCTAATAAAATTCTCTCTCTAGGCTCGAATTTGAGATTTGATTGAGTCTGAGATTATTTCAAATTAAAAATAACAAAAGAGAGTTTACTTTTTATCCTAACTCCTGATATGTTACCCTATTTAATTCTTCTCAGTAAACTTTGAATAGTTTTACCAATAAACCTGTAACAAAATTATATATTAAACCAACATTTTGTAGGCTCTGGTGAAATAATTTATTAACTTTGTGTCGTTAAATCTACTACAACATTAAATGTTTTTTTCATCAACTTTTTATTGAATGCTGATTAGTACTATAGCTTGTACGAACTTCTCAGATTCGTTTTTAGATTATATTTTATCTTAAAGAAAAAAATAATACGGCAAAAATTTATATAGATGGTTTCTAACTTACATAGAATTAAGATATTGTTATTATTATAATGTGTTTGTATATTTAAACGAAATTCATGTAAGCCAAAGAAGTAAATAATAAGCATTTATAAGTTTAGGGCACACCAAATGTCCTTACAAAATTAAGTGTTTACAAGTTATAATTAATGAAAGACTCAACTTATAAGCATTATTAATTTGATAAATTAACATTATAGTCTCTCGAGAAGTCCTTATAAATATGAATGTGTTCGTGATGCAAGGAAAAGAATTTATCAGTCGAAAATTAGTTCTCTATAAAAATTAAAAAAAAGATCATAGTATTTAGTGTAAATACATAAAAAGAAATCCTAAATTTGACAGCAGAATTTATTTTAATCCTTAAATTATACAGACATTTAAATACTCTCTTAATATTTTTCAAGTGATTTAAACACCCATTAGGGATGACATGACAGGAAAAGTGAGTGTACTTTCCTTAAAGCGTGTGAAAAAAGAAAAAAAATTGAATCTTTTAAAGTCCTACACATGACTTTTTTTATTGGTTAACATATAATTAATATTTTAAATACTTATTCTTGATACATTAACTCTTTAAAAATATGTAAAAAAATTATTTAGAGATATATAGAACTAGTGGGTCCCTTTTAATTTCTTTAATTTTTTTCTTTTTATTTTTTTGTCTTCCCTAATACACTTTTTTCTCCATTGAAACACCTCCTCCTCCATAGAATTTATATTTTTTTTATCAACTTTCTTTATGTAATCTTCATTTCTTATTTGAGTTGACAATAAAGTCTTGGCTTTCAAAAAAAAATCTTCCTCTGAAAGGGTAAATGTGTGGGGTGGATTCGAAGAAGATAACGTGAATATTATAGTGAATAATTTCATTCTAGTTATTTAAGAAAAATGTTGAATAGTGTATAAGAAAAGTAAGTATTGAAGGTTGAAATGGTGAACAACAAGGAAGATGAAATAGAGAGGGTGAGGGTATGCATTTATAAATTAATTAATTGACATAACTAATATTAAAAAGGTTTAATAGGAAATAGTGAATAAGTAAGAAAGAATTAAAAATTAATGACATGGTACCTACATGGTTATGATGTGGCACTTACATGGATATGATGTGGTGGGTGAGAGTGGTGTTACAGTCTCAAGGTGGCAAAAAAATCACTTTAAAAATAATAAGAAGGATATTTAAACATCGTATAGTTTAAGTACTAAAGTGAATTTTGCTATCAAATTTAGAAATTTTTTTTGTTATTATTATGTATTTTCCCTAGTATTTAATAATTAATGCAGCCTTATCCATCTAAAAAATGGTGTTTGCACATATACGATTATGCCAAGAAGATATTATAACTCTGCAAGTGATGTACTACGAGCGGTCCAAATTAATACCAGCATTAAATGTTCAAATCATAGTCATTAATAATGGGAAATTTTTGCTAGGCCAGTTTGGAAATATTTAGGTAACACAGTACGTATTACCTCCTTCTTTTTTCCGCAGCCGTTGTTGATATTTATTTTGAAGTTGATTAATTTATATTTGTGTCAAAAAGTTGTATTTCAAAGAGATAGCAAATAGTTGGATTGAATCGAATTTAAATGGATTAAATATGAATTGAGAAAAAATGATTTTGATTACAATTCATCCAAATATGATTTGGATAAAGTGGTTCTAATCCATTTAAATAAATTTATTTTTCAAAAAAAAAATTTATTCCTCCTTCAACCACCTCCTCGCGATCTTTCAGACCTACCCCTAAAAAATTTTTGTTATGGAAAAAAAAAATCTATTTTAAAAAATAAAATAAAATTTACCCCTGCCCCCCTACTCCCCCTCCACCAACCTACCCCTAAAAAATTTTATTTTTCAAATATAAAAAAAATTACCTCCTCCCCCTGGTACCCCCTACCCATCCCCATCCCCATCTTCCACCAACCTACCTCTAAATTTTTTTATTTTCCAAAAAAAAAAAAGAAATTTACCCTCTTCCTCAAGCACCCCCCCCCCCTCCCCCCACAACCTCCGTGGCATTGACCGACTCCTAAATTTTTTTGTTTTTAAAAAGAAAAAAAATTATTTTATTTCTCATTTATATGGGCTTAATATGGGCTGAATATCAATTCTCATGTTAACTCATTTTGTCCATATTGTATGAACTTAAATAGGTTGAAGACCATATTAATCCAGTTAAAAAATGAAAAAAAATATGAGTGATCCATTTAATTTAATATGGATAAAATAATTTTATTTCACTTATATGAATTGAAATTGCCATCCCTGCTTCAATAATAAAATATTTTACGGATTTTTTTTTGACCAAAATATGACCAGAATGATATTTTTACTTCATGGACTTCACCCTAGAATAATAATAATCCTTCACCAAATATTTGACTATATTTTGATTTAAAGGTCACAATCCAAAGTCATTAAATCACACACTTCAAAATCAAAATTCCAAGGAAAACTAATCTTAGAAATATATATGGCAGATATATATCTTTTTCCTCACCAAATCATCTTTGAAAACATCTCTTATTTCCTAATTACTACTCCAAATTGAACATTTACACAACAGATCAAGTCCTTGACATCAAATATATGTACCTGCTTAAATGTTAAACCCTTGTCTTCCTAACGTGTAATTGTATTAATTAGATTCACCTAATGTTTGGGATTAAATGTTAGACACCAAAACACCAAATTCATTTCTGTTTTTTTTTTAAGTTTGACTAATTCAGATTACTCATGTAAGGTTTACTTAACGATAAGTGTTCCCCACCAAAAAACATTTCATTCATGATTGATGTTAATCGAATTCATTACTTGCCGATTAAGGATTGAAGAATCATATTCATCTCATCATAATTTTTTGATAGAATTTTCACATATTTTTATTGAAGTATACTTTCGAATGTCCAAGTACACAATCTTAAATTCAAACCAAAGTTCAAATTCAAACAATGCCCTTTATTAACTTTCATTATTAAGCAATTAAAATTAATTTAAGTTGACCTTTGCAATATGATTAATTGGTAGCTTATTTAGGTGTATCAACTTCCACTGAAATGGAGGCAGCAATTTGAC